TATTTTTTTGGGACATAATCAAATCAAACTTTCTAGATAAAACCACACTAACTCTAGTCCTGCTCAACATAATCAAATATTAACTCCTAACTTGGTAGTTTAAGCTCAATTAACCTGTTGATATTTATGATGCAGAGGACGAACAGGCCTTTCAACTCCGGGTCTTCTGTGACTGCGACCCTAAACGTGCCAGCAGCAGCTTCAATTTTGACATTTCTGGAATCAGCAATGGGAGAGGAGACCTAAATAAACTATCGTTAATTACCCAACAACTTCCTTATATCCTCACCATGTCCATCCCTAAAAATGTCAGCAGCCACCTCACGACTCGCAGGAAACGCTCCACTGACTCAAAGGACACTTGCACAGCGTAAGTAGGACTTTTACTACCTACTTATTTCAGTTAACCAAATTACTTGACAACTGGTTTGCTCTCGCAACTACATAATAAAGTATCCTAAAAAGGCTCCTTTCTAGGAATGGGTAATATGGGACAAAATTACAAATATTTTCTGGAAATCCAACAGAAATGTGTTAAAATGTGCCTTGTTATGTATTAGTTGAGGTTTAATATGTGAAAGTGTAAAATTAAGATTACTACATATCACCACAGGTTTAATCAGGCTTTATGAGGCATGTTGAGATTTGATTTTTGTATAATCGATATAAAATTTTAGCAAATTTTCAAAAGAACATTAACAAAATTTATGATAATTCAATATACAGCCCACCTCTACTTCTTTCTATGGAAACTACTGGAACTTTGCTAAAAAAAAAGCTAATAACTGCAAAAAATTTGGACCGTTGCCATAGCGATATAGTGAACAAAATACCTTTTGGGAAAAAGTCCTCAAAATGATACATAAAACAGGAAGCAGTAACCCATCGATATAGCCTATATACATGTAACCCATAAGAATATTAAAATGCATATTGAGTAAAGATATGCGTTACTTGACTTAACTTGTTTGGACTTTTGTCCTCAGCCAGACAGAAACATGCTGTGTGCGAAGCTTGTACATTGACTTCAGGAGGGATTTAGGCTGGAAGTGGATCCACAAGCCCACGGGCTACCACGCCAATTACTGCATGGGCTCCTGCACTTACATCTGGAACGCTGAAAACAAATATTCACAGGTATGGACTGGTATGACTTTTCTGAGTTTTTAGAGCAACAATTTTGGACTAATGTATTTTTTATGACTTTGCTATTAAAATGTGTTTGGCATTAAGTTGTATAGTGGTGAAATTCATGCTCAGTTGGGGTTAGCTGTTGCTTGAGCGATATAATTGTTTACAGATCTTGGCCCTGTACAAACATCACAACCCAGGAGCCTCAGCCCAACCGTGCTGCGTTCCCCAAAGCCTAGAGCCACTGCCAATTCTCTACTACGTGGGCCGGCAGCACAAGGTACCCATACCACATCACAGAGCATGTCATGCTACTGCTATGTGTTTGAAGACGAGTTTTAATATTGGTGTTGATTTTCACTTTTAGGTGGAACAGCTGTCCAATATGATCGTGAAGTCCTGCAAGTGTAGCTAAAAATACATAGCGGCGTGGAGCGTTGGCACACAAGGATATACAACTGAGAAGGATGAAAGGAGTTTTGTTTGAGACTTGAGGCTCCGACAAAGGGAATATTTAAAACCATCTGGATCGCTTGTGGTCCAGTTTTCCTCCTGTCATCCATGACATTGTTGTTATGGATGCAGATGAAAGCATAGACTCCTGTATAGGTAGTATTTTCCATGTCTGAACTGACCTGAACGTGGTTAAAATATACATGTTGAAATTAATTTATTTTGTAGATTAAAAGTGCATTTTACATTTATTTTATTACAAATGTGGATAAAGCCTGGACCAAATGAACTTTGATGGAAGATAAGCCATTTCTTTAGGACATTTAAGACTTCCTTACAAGGTCATATTTATGGTGCTTTAACTGAGGTATGGAATTAAGTGCCATGAAAGATACCTGTAATGATGCAGGTGTTGAGGGCAGCAAAGGGACTGTCCAACTGAGGGGAATTCCTACAAGTGAAGTTACTGACGAAGCAATATCTCACCAACCATCCATCACATTAACTTTCTACAATGTTACTGTTTATTAGGAGGGATTTGTGTTGCCTTTGTGGTTCACAGCTTCAGTTTATCACATCACATACTAGATCTATCATATCAGAAGTACATTTCAGCACAAACAATAAACATTCGTCTGAAGGTCAAGATGTAGTACACACAGGAAAGTTTACCATTTTTAAATGCACTTACAATTTGTACTGATAAAAATGTTAAAATATGAAATAAAGTAAATGTTGTTTGTATTTTCTGAGAGTAATATGAGACAAAAGAAGGTACAAATTTTAACAATAATCTAAATACCCCAAAAGTTAAGATGCTATGTAAAGACAACATATACAAAACCCAAAAACTCAGAATATTTTAATACCATTAATTCTTTTCATGTATTTTTTTTCTTTTCAGGAGGCAAACAAAAAAATTATTTGCTAAGCAGGAAAAAAAGAAACCTGAAAAGTATTATTTTATAAATGGAATATCTTGACAGTTAAACATATAATTTTGAAATTCATTGCAGAAACAAAACTCAAACAGTTGAGATAGAAGTAAAAAGGGCTGCGAGCAAGTGCTCTTAAAAAGCTGCATTTTGAAGCTGTACAAGGCCATAAATTGTTATGGCACTGGGCAGTTGTAAATCATGCTTGCTGTGTAACAGGTGTGTGGTGGGACACCTGGTAAAGTGGCCAATAGTTATACCCCATCTAGAAGTTCACCTGCTCTTGTAACTTTAACTGTTGGGAGGGTTTTCCACTACTACCCCATGTAACACTGCTACCTCCACCCTGGCTGCCCCACCCCTCTCCAGTACTCAGGGGATTACTGGCAGCACACGAAGCTGGATTGGGAATGAGGGGAGCAGGTCCGGGCGCGTTGGTAAGCCATAGTCTTAAGGGCAGTGACTGCATGGAAAAAGAAGCGCACACACATCCCATACACATGCACGTGAACCCACTGACACCCCACTGACGCTCGGGCATGTCAACGTTGAGTGCTTCACATTACAGCCTTCATATTAGAGAATAGTGTCAGGGTCCCTCTGTGCATCAGATGACAGGGAGGTGTGCCAGCTTGTTCCATAGCTTTAAGCAGATCACAGAAGCTTAGGCTCTGTTTGTCTCCAGGGGGCTATTTTTGACAACAATATCAATGGTAATGTATACATGTCATAGAATAGTATAGTTTTAGATTACAGAAGGAATTAAAGGTGCACTGTGTAACTCTGCCACCTGCTTGTCTCCATTTTGATGTTACTGCTTTACCTGGAATGTTCCCCAGTTTTAGGTATTTGAACCATGAAGTAATCTGCAATTCAATAAATGCAAGATAGATATGTTTAATGACATACTGTGGAACATTCCAGGCAAAGCAGTGCTGGGAGCCAGAATACAGACTTCTTCAATACTTTACGAAGATATGATTCTGGTCACCAGTGAATCTCACTGTCTTCAACTGGGTGTGACTGACAGATGGATTAGCCAATCAAGGACATGCATGGTCCACCATATTGGAAAGAATAAAGGAAAAAAAAAATATTGCAGATTTCTACAGAATCAGTGAGCACTAAACTGTTAGTGTGAGGTGAAAGAAAATTTATTTTATTTGTAATTAGACTTAGACAAAATGTATTGATCCACAAGGGATATTTTTTATTTATTTATTATTATTCATATATGTATGTAATATATGTAATTCATAGGTGACCAATGAGCTCTTTTATTTCACATGTGCCACTGGAAAAAACAAAAACAAATCTGATCACGATCTTGTTGAACTGGGTTGAGATTCAACAGAGAGCATGGAGACCTGACTGATATTGATCCATGTAAAAAAAAATACTGAGAAATATTCTGAATTTACATGCAAGGCAAAAACAATAACATATTCAAGGGAGCAAGCAGGTAACAAGAAAAGTTACATAAAGTATCTTGTGAAAATATATAGCCTTTTTTCTTGCTTTTTCTGGCAACTCAGAAAAGTTTTCTATCTTAATGACACAATCAAGAGATAGAAGACTGAGAAATTTGGCATTAAAATAATTCTTATTTAAAAGGTCCTGTGTAATGTATTCTTGCAGCTTTATGCTCCTCAGCTTGGCACTTTGTATCTAACAATAATAGCCTGCTCGTAAATCTATTATCATATCTATGTTGACAGTTAGGACGTTACAGAGTTACAGGGATATAAAAGAACAATAGGCACTGTGTAAGCTTGCCAGCGTAGGTGTAATTGTACTGTTAAAGGTTTTCCCCTAGAAAACAGACTCATTACTATTAGTAAACAAAAAAAATAAGAGACTGGTGGAAACAAAGAAGATTCCCAGCTGTGAAAGTCCCTGCATTGCAACCTGTTTCACTTTCACTGCACAGGGCAAACAAAGAGAATGAATGTCAAGAGGGACATAAATCTCCCATAATGCAACTGTCCCAGGGGCCAGTCAAAGGCAACGCAGGACTGTCCCGCTTAAGATGTTCATCTCTCGGCAGCTGCTTCCTCTAAGGCCCATGGGCTTTTGAAAGGGACAAACTGTGAACACCTCTGGAGTGTAGCAATACCCATCGCAGTGCATGCAAACAATGTAAAAGAGGCCACTTGAAGCCCTTGTGTTGTATGCTAGTGTTACAGATGCGAGTGGCTGAGGAGAGAAAGAGAGCTGTCCCTGTGTTACAAGTCTAAACAGGTGTTCCATTTAAAGCTAACAGGATACACGTGCCGGCTTTTTATGAACCAATGAGTAAGAGGAACATTGTTGTTGTGGATAAGTCATTCACTTTTCACATAATTGCTTCTTTAATTACAGACATGTGCATCCCCATTTAACTTGCCTGGCTTTATGTAATGCCTGAATCATCTTTACTTTGAGCCTTTGAGTTAACAAAGTAAAGCTGCCATAGTAAACATATGGAGAGTCTGTATGGCTCTCTAAATAACAGCAGTGTATATAATGATCTTCAAAGGCTATTTAGAGTTTTGTCTTATGTTCAGCATGTTCCACATTTTGAAATGCAAGTAGGATTGGGCAATATTCCAAAAAAAATGCCCCCCATGTCGATCAATCAATCAATCACAATTTCATTTTATTTTGTATTTGTATTAAAAACAAATAAGACTGACTTTTCATGACATTTCCTGAACATGAACAGAATTAAAAGTAACATTTCCAGTGGAGGGTCTGCCTCCTGCTTATCTCTATGGAAATGTAATCGCTTTGTCTACTATGTCCTAAAGTATAAATTAAACTTATCTATCAAGAGGGAGACAAGCAGGTTACAGCACTATGCTACGTTACAATTCAGATCTGTGGAGAGTCGGCCCTATTCACAGAAGGAATTATAATATTTTTGAGGAATAGGAACACCCATAATGTATAAATGCTAGATGGAAATATTTAATGTCATATACGATGGAACATTCCAGGCAAAGCAATACCATTTCCATGGAGAGAAACAGGTAGTGAAAAAGTTGTGCAGTATGCCTTTAAATAAATGATGGGCATTTTAAACAAACAAACAAACAAACACACAAACAAATAAACAATCAGTCAAATTCTGCTCCAAGCCCCATTACAGAGGATTGGCTGTGAACCTCTCATCTAAACACTCAAGCTTAAATCACTATTGACGATTATAAATGACAAAATCTCGATGTCTATTAAAATGTGATTAATTGGAAAACCCTAATTATATGTCCTATGATCTTTGGCCACACGTGGTTGTTAAAAGCAGACCAGTGGCTTTGGATGGGGCAGGCTCTGACCTTAATAACAGGGGCTGGTGTCCTGCTGCTGCTCAGCTCTGCTCCACAAACACACAGCTGCTCAAGGCCATTGTTGCTGCAGGTGCTCATTCTGTGGACACACTCACAACAAAAATATACACCTTTTCCTTCTCCTCTAATCACCACTATGTTACATCTACACTCTTTAATAGAGTATATTTAAAACTTCAATTTATCATTACAAATTTCATTTCAATTGACTCCGCTAACAGAGCATGTGGTTCATACAAAGTAAAATGCATGATGGAATCTAGAATTTGAAATGTAGTGTATATCTCTGCCCTTCGCTATGATTTCCTAACATGTCTTATCTAGTCCAAGTCTAGAAAAATAGTGGAAAGGAGTTCAACGAAATTATTGCATATGACAGTATGAAACTATATGCTATTGTCCGTAGTAGGAATGTTGAAAGAGATGTGTGCATCCAACAACTATAGTTATGGTTTGACCATAATAGAAATGTATGTTTTGCAGAGACATCACTCTGTGGTGTTCTATAACATTACTATGGCGACACAATGCACACATTAGGAAAGAGTCTCAAAAGTCAAGAAAGCATACTAAATGTATTGAAACAACACATTTTCAGGTACCTGAATGAGTGTCCTGCATAGGTCTTTGATTTTCAACAAAAAAAGCTAGCTTAAGTAACAGAGCTTCAGACAGCGCAGAGCCTTTAGTTAGCTTCACACCTCAGGGACTTGGGGTGATCAGCTGCAAAGTATCAATAATACGTATGATGAATACAAACAATACAAAGGGAGTTGAGAATAAACTTTTGTGCCTTTTGTAATTAGTGTAATATGTAGGCCAAGTGTGTCTCTCAATTGTAAAAGACACTATTCCTTATGATCTGTAAGGAGCAAACAACTGTGGCAGATTTCTCAATGAAAACTGTGAAAAGGTGAAAGGCCCCTCCACCTGTCTTGTCTCCAGCCCTCATCGCTCTACTAACACCTGTAGTTAAATCCCAGATGTTTATCAGCACCTGAGTCAGCAGACCATATCTCGCTCAACATCTTTCTCTCTCATCACTTTGCCAACTCTTTGAAGGTGCTCCACAAGAAAGAAGACCAGTGATAGACGGGGATAAAACCAATGTACAGGGAGGGGAATATTCAGACCACACATGTTTTACTGTTTAGTTGACATTTTACATAGAATAATGAGGTTAAAGGGCAGGTTTTAATGTTTTCCTCATCTTTTCTTGGTTTGGTGGAATAGTGCCAGTGGTAAATATATAAAGTTTTCCACCAGATAAGCGTCAGATTGTGAGGGGGAAAAAAATGAGATGAAAAGTGCAAAGATACAGGAAGTAGTGCTCAGTTCTAAAACAGAATCACTGACTCCAAACATTCCATCCAAAATGCAGGGACATTTTATGCACAAGGAATGCATTTTTCTTGCAGTTTAATCCTTGATTGATTTAACAAAATAAAGCTGTCACATCTCAAGGGGCTATCCAAAAATA